TACTTAAAGGAAACTTTTAGCAAATTTACTCTAAAAGGTTACATCTTATATTCAAAGCCAAACATTATGTTAGCACAAAGAATCCAATACAAAGAAAGGAAATGACCTCCGGACTTCCCTAGGCTGGCCTTGGGGAGCTGGCAACTATGTAGTCCAAACTCAGTGATAACTTCCCCCATTCTAAAAGAGACCTCCATCACTCTACCACATGACTGTTTTCTTCAGAACACCATGGAAGGATCTTGCATTTTTCTTACTCATGTTTCCCTCCACTAGAGACTAAGTTTTGTGGGTAATCTTGTTTATCTAGAATGCTGCTTTGCTCTCAGCACCTAGGGCGAGTGGTCTGGTAGGTGCTTGGCACTTGATAAATAGATGGATGAGTAGTTTAGTAAGCAGAAGCATGAATGCTTGCCTACGAAGGACTAAGTGCTAGGGTGTGGGGCTGTAATCTAAATGACACTATATAGAAATCCTGGGCTGTTTTCACAGGACAACAAAAGCCCCCACTCTCCTGATAACCTATAAAATGCAGGTCCTTTTGAGGCAAGGCTGATCAGGAGGAACTGGAATGTTCTAGATTCTAGAACGTATCTCACCACAGTGCAGACAGCATTTGCATTCTGTCTCCACGTGTGCCAAAGCAGCTTTAGCATAATTTCCCACTGTAATATTTGTTTAGAAGGAAAAATTTTGAATATATGGAAAATGCCTTTTACAACTAAATTTATCCTTAAGATATCTCCAGGACTGAGATGACTCAGGATTGAGTAGATCTGCTAGAATTATATACAATGAAATGGACCCTTTGCACCTATCTAGACAGACCTCTGCAGAGAAAAATGTTTTCCCCTTCTTATCTGGAAGTCAAGTCATATGATGTGCACAAATGGAAGAATGCACTCTCCTGTCTACAAGGTTATGATTTTTTTTAAAAAAAATAAATGATTTTATGTGCTATTGAAGTATTGTATTCTTAAAAATTTTAAGGTTATTTTATGTGTATGAGTGTTTTGCTCAAATGTGTACCACAAGAATACTTGATGATCTCCTGGAATTGGAGGAATGGATGACTGTTAGCCTCCTTGTTGGTGCTGGGAGCCAAACCCAGGTCCTCCACAAGAGTAGCCAGTGTTCTTAACCTCTGAGATCTTGGCAGCCCTATTAATATATTCTTTAGGAATAGAATCTAATTGGTCAACCTCCTTTTCCTGTGCCTGCAAGCCATCATTAAACACTTCAAAAGTAGGTGGAGCAGATAAGCTGATATAGCCTAGCCCTGGAAGAAATGCATCATTCCTTCAAATGGGTGCGGCTGACTTTTGAATGAACAAGGTGGGTCTTAGACTAAACACAGGGACTGACACAGCTTCAAAGTCCTCTGGCCAGTGATAGCTGTATGTGGCTTAATTTTTTTAAGATTCAATTATTTGTGTGTGTGGGGGGGCAGGTGGGTGAGGTAGGTACACGTGAGAGTGGATGTCCACACAGACCAAAACAACTTGTCAGATTGCCCCTAGAACTGGAGTTACAGGTGTTTGTGAGCTACCTGACCTGAGTATTGGGAACTGAACACAGGTCCTCTGTAAGAGCAGCAAGCTCTCCTTACTGCTGAGCCACCCATCCAGCCTCTGGCTTAGTTTTAAATGAACAAAAACCAAATAAATTTTCCTTGGTTACTCTAGCTATATTTCTTGCTGTTCCTACATTGATTGGCACAGGCATTTTCATTAAAGAAAATTCTACTGACAGACAGGGTAGTGCATCTTAAGCATGGTGCTGTCAGATCCATTGTAGGGAGCTCAACAATTCTTCGGAACCCTCTCCAAAGGCAAATGCTACTCTTATAAAGAAAAATATGACAAATTATTTTTTGTTGCCAGAGAAGACAAGACTGAAGGTGTGTGTGTGTGTGTGTGTGTGTGTGTGTGTGTGTGTGTGTGTGTGAGATGGGAATGGGTTGAGACAGTTTCTCTGTGTAGCCTTGGCTGTCCTGGAACTCAGTTTGTAGAACAGGCTGGCCTTGAACCCACTGAGATTCACTTGCCTCTGCCTCCCAAGTGTTGGGATTAAAGATGTGCACCACTACACCTGGCAAGATTGGAGCTTTTATGGAACCCCCAAAGAGCTGGGGGAGAAGGAAATCAGACAAAGGATTCTGAGTTGCTGCACTGCAGGAATGACTGGATAAAGGGAGACAGGCTCATGGAAACATACATGGCTTGATCAGAAAACACAGTTGAGAAAACTCACTTGTGTTGATTGAAATTTGATTCCATTATAATGTTCTGTTTGAAAAGAATCTTGTGCTGGAGGTATAGGTCAGAGGTCCAGTGTATGCTTAGCATGCTAGATTCCTAGGGTCACAAAGCAAACAGGCAGCATGCTTTATTGGCTGAGTTAGGGAACCAGCAAAGATGGGTCTTGGTCTAATTGGGATCAAAGTGTATAAAAAGTGGATGGTTACATGATGCCACAGCAGAAAGAAGCAAAAGGAGTCACGGCCAAAGTAAAATACAAAGGGAAAGAACTGAGAGAGCCTTTTGTCCATGGAGAGTCTTTACAAGAGTCTTTTCCTACTCGAACTTAGGCATTGTATCTGACTTAGTAGAGAACACGATTTCTTGTTACAGGAGAAAGGATGTAAATCATGGACTTTGCCCCCCAAGGGCACCCTCTTGCCTCTCCCATATCTTATGCTGTTGAGCATCTTAGTCTCTAAGGTCTTCTCTGTTTTCTGATTTAACTCTAAATCCAATTTCTTTTGCCAGCCATCTGATTTGCAGTCCTGGTACCATCTTTTGTATGCCCAAATTATTGGAACTCTGTGGTATGGTCAACTTTTAATTATTTGGAGAAATAGAGGAAACAGTTCATATCAGAATGAATAATTGTTAATAAGAGCAAACACTTTCTGAACATTTACCATTCACCATGCACTTTGCTAAATGTTTAATGTTTTACATTAGCTCATTCAATCCCAATACAACACTGCAGTGATCCATGTATTGTTACTTCCATGACACAGAAATGGAAAATGAGACCTAGGTGTCATAGTGGTGCATGCCTGTAATTTCAGCACTGGGTAAGCAGAGGCAGAAGGACTGCAAGTTTAAATCCACTCTGCAATACATAGTAAGTTCCAGGCTAGGCTACATACAGTAACTTTTTCAAAAGGAAACCACAAATTAAACACTAAGCGATCAGGCTTGGATTAGATAATAAATCGTAGGTGGAATCAATTCAAAAGCATCTTTGTCTGACTCTGGAATTTGCACTTTTATCTACTACTCAGACCATGAACTTTTACACATACTAATGTTCTGACTCACACAACTTAAAGCCAACAGTAGTATGATTTCCTATTGACAGCTTCGCTAAGTTCATACATTGAACACAAAACAAAACTTTTTTCTTATTAAGTCAGGTAGCTGAGAAAACTTTTAGTTCATTATATCAGAAAGGTGTTGTCTCAGAATGGTGATGTTTGTGTCAATATGTAATGTTTTGTGCTGATTCTGTCTTCCTAGGGAGTTCCTATGGAGATGTTAACAGTGGTAGTTGACACTGTTCAAAGGCTAAACCAGTGCTGGAAGGAGCTAGAGTGGTATGGAAACTTCTTGAGGAATTTATCATTGGATGATTAAAAGCAGCCACTTGGTCCATTTGGTTTTAGGTTGAATAGCAGAGGAGTCTGCTCTCCTACTTGTGATAAGACAGGGAGAAAGGTTCAATTGCAGATGCATGCTATATTACAGGGAATAGGAATCAGTCTGGCTATTCTTCCTCACCTGCTCTACAGGAACACAAAGCACTGAGGCTAAATTTCTCAAGCAGTGCAATCTCGTTTGTTGTGGATATAGATTTACCTCTCCTAACAGACTAAGGCTTTCCAAGGACACAGTTGATTCACTGGAACCTATGAGAGGCTCTTTACTTATCAAAGGATTGTGGTGCTGAGTATTTCCAGGCTAAATACAAGTAACAAGGGACAAGGGAATGTTGTTAAGTTTCTGTTTTAGAAATTTTGCTCATTTATCTAGCAGGTAGAGTTTTCAACTGAAAGGTGAGAGATACTATGTTTAGAAGGTCTGGTTATTGTGAACTTGTAAAGGCAATGCAAACCAGAAGGCAGAGCTTAAGTTTTCTTAAGTTAAAACCTCAAACTTTCACTTCGTTTTTTATAAAATGATTTGGAGAGGGTTGGGTTGAACCAGACGTGCTCTTGCGAGCGTTTCAACGTTGCCATCTCGGGATATTACAACAGATTTAAGACATCAGTTTGGGACGGATTGCTGCTGACTCTGACCCTGCACTCTACCCACAAGTGACTACCTCCCTTATTAGACAATGACTGTTTGATTAACCGGAATGTCCCTATAACTTAACCCACACGTTATTGGTCCTTGTTGGTACCCTGCAAACGTTTGTCGAATACCTGCTGGCTTGGGTTCTTTGTTGGGCCTGATCCGGCCTTCTAGTTCAGGATCCTGTAGAGGTCAACCCTCATCCGCCAGTGTAAACCGGCGCTTGCCTGGGATAAGCATAGTTCTCACTGCGGGGGAACTTGACCTGCTCTAACGATTTGTCATTAGGCAAATTTGTCATCTGCAAACAGAGCTTTTAAAGAGAATTAGGGCCAGGCAGGTTGGATCCCTAGACCGCCAGCTTGGTCTCTAAAGCTGATTCTCACTTTTGACCACTGAGGACAGGGGGAATCAGAGAGTCGGAACTCTCTGGTAAGCTACGCTGTCGGCGGTGAAACCTTAACCCCTGTTCCTGTTACAAATCTCGTCGCCAGGGCAACAGTGGGCGTCATCAAACGCGGGGCGGAAATAAGGATATAGTACACGTCTCCAGCGCCGAGAAGCCCCCACGCAGGCGCGTTAATCTATTTCCGGCTGTAGTTCTCAGCGTAGAGATGCAATCTGCGTCTGCGCACTCATTGTGACGCGCCAAGGTCGACCTATAGGCCTGCGTGGGCGTGGCCAGGGCCCTCCAGTGCGCACGCGCGAACCGCGTTCCCTGTGCCCGTCCGGTATCCGAAGTGTCCCGCGTTCGTCATGTCGGCCTCGGTGGTGTCGGTCATCTCGCGGTTCCTGGAGGAGTACTTGAGCTCCACTCCCCAGCGGCTGAAGTTGCTGGACGCCTATCTCCTTTATATACTGCTGACCGGGGCGCTGCAGTTCGGCTACTGTCTCCTCGTGGGCACCTTCCCCTTCAACTCGTTCCTCTCCGGCTTCATCTCCTGTGTGGGCAGCTTCATCCTAGCGGGTAATGATTCTGTGTCCTGGTAATAATTCTCCACTTTGGCGCGCAGCTCCGTCCTCACAGTGCCCTTTGGTAGTTTGCAGATGGCTGTCTGTCGCCTGTGAAGTCAGGCATACTTCTTTTCTTGGGATCCAGGAAACAGGCTCAGAAATGTTGTCACGTTTCTAATGCCTAGGAGCTGGAACTGAAGATGTGAGGAAACTCTCTTCTGGTGATTCACCGCAGTTAATACTGCTCTAAAGAAACATCCCATTCTTAACTTTGATGTAGCTTTAATACAAGTTTAAAGTTGATAGACCCTTAAATGAAAAAGCCAACCCCGAGCCGCTTCTGTCACCTTTGGTCTAATCCCTACTCCATCCAGGGGAAGGCAGGTATAGGGATATAAATATTGGTGATTGCTCATGACGCTATTCAGTGGATGCTGGCTCTTTTGTTGCCCCCTCACTTTGTGTGTGTGTGGGGGGCGATGATGTGCCCCTGTTTTCCTCATTGTCCCCGAATTCAATTTTTTCCCCCCACACAATTGTGTGTTAGCTTTTCTTTCTGGCTTTCCGAATTTGCTAATCTTGTATACTTCCAGATTTAATGAGGATTACTTCCATGAATTTCATCCGAAGTCTGATCTTTCTTGTCCCATGGAATTGAGTGAAAACTGGGAACAGGTTTGGCTCAGGAATGTTAGCTACGACGTGTATTATGGTCGGCAGTGTTTTGGGGGGGGTTTATTAGCTGTTGCCTCCCCCCCCTCAGCGAATTAAAGCTGGTTTAGTCACAGACTATAGCATTGGACTTCTCTGGACACTTGACTTACAGTGATACCTCTTTAACATAGATCTCATGATACATGGACACATTCACACTGCTAGCTCAGGCACACTGGAGATAATTTTACTTTTCAGAACTTAAGTAGGCCTCTGGACATCATGACTCGTGCCCTGTCAGAGCTGGAGCTGCAAAGTTAGCTCCTTCAGTAGTCTTTGGATTTGGATTTTGGTTCAGTTTCTCGAGGCTGCACACTAGCCATTGGGATATGTTAGCACCATCAGCCAGACCTGACAAACCTCTTCACTTCAGGACGATTTTATTAACCAACCAGGGGAAAGAACTTGGCTGAGAACCTCTTTTTTTTTTTTTTAATTTTTATTTTTGCCTCTAGTTATGGAAGTATAGGAACAGGGTGGGGCTGAAAGCTGATTCAAAATAAGCCTTCTCCTGTTGAAGCCAACTCATTTTCATCAGCCTCTGGGTAACGTTGGCTTCCCAGGACTACGTAGAAAAGAACGCTCTGTTAAAAAGTTAAATTAATGTGATAAAGCCAGAGGGTTTCTCTGTGGCTTTGGAGACTGTCCTGGAACTAGCTTGTAGACCAGGCTGGTCTTGAACTCACAGAGATCCACCTCTGCCTCCTGAGTGCTGGGATTAAAGGTGTGCGCCACCAACGCCCGGCCCAAATACTGATTTTTAAAAATTTTTTTCTTTCAAAAATATTTTTGTGGGTGTCTGTGTATATACAGTGTTTTGTACATGTCTGTGCACGCATGCATGTATGGAGGTCAACAAGCAGTAGCATTCATGGCTAGATTGGACTGGCTGGTTGGCCAGAGAGCTCCAGGGGGGGTGTCTTTCTGTTGTGTAGTGAATTGTCTGTCCCCCCTCCCATTCTCTCCAGATCCACAGTTACAGATGTGAGTACCACCATACCAGGTTTTACTTGGGTGCTGGGCATCTGAACCATCAGGTCATTTTACTTTGAGGCAGGCAGTTTACCAACTGAGATAGAAATCTCTCCAGCTCCCAAGTCCTGTTTTTGTGCCTGTTAAAGCTAAAGTTGTCAGGTTCCAGTGGGAGCTGTATGACTTGTTATTGGATAGACTGGTTACCAAAAGAACAGTTAGTAGTGAGACTGGTGTCAGCAGTGAGGGCATTATTAGTAGCGAGGACATTATTAGCAGTGAGCACATAATCAGTAGTGAGATTGATATCAGTGAGATTTTCAAATCTTTCAGGTAACAGGCAATAGAATGAGAGAAAGAAAAGTGGATTCAAGGAAAAAAGAAAAAGGATCTCTGATAATTCATCATTGCTGCAGAAAGTTATCATTTGCATACTCCTCTCCCACTGTGAACGTAGGGGCATTTTACTACTGAGGTAAAATCTCAAATCCATCCATCCATCCATCCATCCATCCATCCATCCATCCATCCCTTTTTTGAAAGAGGATTTCAGTGTGTAGCCCTGGCTGACAGGGAACTGATCAGGCTGACCTTGAACTCACAGAGTTCCGTGTACCTCTACTTTCTGAGTGCTGGGATTAAAGACCTGTTCCAGCAGCCTGGCTGCCATGTTTCTTTTGGCAGCATTAAGTTTACTAAATCTAACCTCTTGGTAGCCTCCATCATTGCCATAACTTGTTTTAATGAAAAATCTGAAATTTGCATGTTTGGCCTTTGTTCATATTGTTGAGACAGGAAATCATATACCTGCTGAAGTGTTTTTTGTTTTTTTACTTTTCTATATGTTTTGTTGGAAGAGAATGGAAGGGACAGTTTGACTGTGAAGGGATGTTGCAGGAAATTAGGTTGGACTTAATTGCTAATTAGTTAAACCAAGTAATTGCTAATTAGGTTAGACCAAGTGGTGTTAAATGCTGGAGCTTTAGATGACAGACCAAATTATTGTAGGAGATCATCTGAGAATTAAAAATGACAACATGGGCTGGTGAGTTGTCTCAGTGGGTGAAGGTGCCTGTCACCAAGCCTGAGAGCCACTGAGTTTTATTCATGGGACCTGCATGATGGAAGGAAAGAACCAACTCCTGCAAATTGTTCTCTCGACTCCACATGTACACTCCCTCTAAGTAAATAATAAATGAAAGTACTTCCGTAGTCCAGCCTTGGCTCAGGTTCAGGTCCTGAGGTGGGGAAGGAGCATTGGAGCAAGGAGAGCTTCTGACTACCAAGTGGATTGCACTCCAGTGGTCCCGAATAGCTCGAGCCCTCTTTATTTATACTTAAACACAGTTTTTCTTACCAGGGTTACATGAACAGCTTTATTATTGGTTCCTATTTTTGACTTTTAAGAAATAAATCATATTTTAAGGAATACAGCGTAGTCATTATGAAAGCCTCTATTGTTCCTTGTATGTTTCCCCCCAAACACCTTCCCATCCCCTGCAGAACCTTATTCTATACATAGAGCTCAGCTATTGCAATTGTGACTGACAAAGTAAAACTAAAAACTGCCGAAAGAATCAATAATATAATGAGAGAGAAAAGAGCCTGCAAGGTGCATGAATTTTACAAATTCTTACACTGTCCAGTGTCCTCGACAAGTAAGAGTCTTGGTGCGTTGCACCAAGGAAGCCTGTTGGTCAGGTAGTCATATGCTGATCTGAGACTAGGCTGTACGGCTGCCGACAAAGTACAAACCTACCATCCAACAATAGTTCTTTTTCTGGAAGTAAAGGATAGACCTGAAGTTGATCTAAGTTGTATGATTTGGAGGAGGATGCTCTTTAGCTTGATTCTCTTCATGCTTGACTGGTTATTCCTTTTGCATGTGCACATTTCCTCTTTGGAAATTGGTCAGTATATTTTAAATCAGTTTAGAATGCTACCATCAAACTCCCCCCCCTCCCCCCCAGACAGGGTTTCTCTGTAGCTTTGGAGCCTGTCCTGGCACTTGCTCTGGAGACCAGCCTCTGCCTCCCAAGTGCTGGGATTAAAGGCATGCACCACCAATGCCCTGCTGCGCCATCAAACTTTTAAAAGCCTACTAAGACACAGTGGTGTCTGCTGTGTCCCCATGGCTGAGTGACTTAGGAAGGGTCTTAGGAAGGGAACTGAGGTGACTGGCCACCAGGATGAGCTTGTTCAACAGTATAGTAATCAGGTTTTTAAAAGGACCTCAAGGGAGTAATTTTCCTTTCCTATTTCATTCTCGAAGCTGACTCTTTATCTTATGGTTAGCTCTTACTAGAGGAAGGACATCTGTCGCTTCTGAGTTAACATTCCAGTGTTGGCAGCCTTCTTAGTTTCCTTTTTTTAACCTAACTGAAATCTGCTCATTTCAAGTACTACTTAGGGAGAGTAAGTGGGGAATAGCTAAGTCTGTTCTTATAAGTATGGCTAAAAATAAGTGTTAGTAGGCAAACACTCCACCTGCGGCTTTATCCCCAGTCTGTGAAATTGTTTTAAGTCACTTCACAACTTTGGTCTTTCTGTTCTCAAAAGTAGGAAACAGTTTTGCCTTTTGAAAAAAACAGAGTTTGGTAGCTGGAGAAATAGCTTAGTAGGTTAGTGTGCTTGCAGAACAAGCATGAAGGTCTGAGTTCAGATCTGTGTCACAAGCCAGGCATGACACACATGCCTGGTTCCCCAGGGCTGGCAGCAGGATGGAATCAAGAGGATTGCTGAGTCTTGCTGGCTCGCAGCTCAGGTTCAGTGAGAGACCCTGTCTCAAAGGATGGGGGTGAGGGGGAGAGAGAGTGATCGAGCACACACACAGGACACCCAGTGGCTTCTGGCCTCTGCAAGAATCACACACACACACACACACACACACACACACACACACACACAGGCATGTTTATCTACACACACACGCGCCACATTCGTACACCTAACACATGCACTTGCACACACAATAAATTTAAGACATTTACAAAATTAAGTTTTGTGCTCCCAGTTAAGAACTCCCAAAACGAGTTTGATTTTCGAGACAAGGAGACTAGTCCAGAGTGTTTTCTGTCTCAAGGGAGGCATTGGCTTATGTGGATTGGGGTCTGGCAGCTTTAGGGAGTGTCTGTTAGGTTTGTGGGTCCCTCTAAGCTGCTGACCAGGAGATTGGGAGTTTGCCAACTTCATGGCTGATTGTCCAGTTTCTAAATGTCCTATCCATCACTACTTTTTTATTCTCGGTACCTCAGGCTGCTTCCTGATTGTGCAGCCTCTGGCATCTTGTTTAGCTTGATTTGTTTACAAGTTTGTGTTGCTTAACCA